GTTGTAATCTCCAAGCAGTAGAGCAAAATCATTGAATCCCAAGTTAGCAACAATGGCACCGATGGAATCCACGTGGTCTTGTATGCTGCTGCTATCGTTACGACGATCCGGTGGTAGGTATATTACGCCCACGCTGACAACTCGGCTCGGCATAGTCACTCTAACCCACAGTTGCTCCAAACCATCGCTGACGGGTGAAGGGTCGATATAGCTGTTCCAACGGGTAGAAACCGCAATCAAAACACCACCTCCGCGGGTCTTCGCACTATTAGAGCCATTTCTATCAGTGCGATATACAGCAAAGGTGTCCCCGAATAGTTGCGCACTGTATATACGGTCGTCGAGCCAGGTCTCGGTCAGCACTATGACGTCATAATCGCACTCGCTTGCGACAATGGATGGAAGCCAATAGTACGCTATGCAAGCGTAGGCAGAATCACTGGCATCGACGAATACATGGAGCTCTAGCTGATCGAAATTGTCCGGAAATGGCGTTTGAAAGTAGCACCGAGGAATTCGCAAGGTATCCAGTTGGGGAAAATAACCAATCCACTGTCGCCAACGATCGTACAATTCCTCGTTCACCGCTTCATCCCAATCGATTCCTGTTGCCTGTTTGTACGATACAAAACCCATTGGATCAAATAAACTCATGACGACTTTCAGTACTTCGCGTTTTGTTGGGATGTGGGCTTCGTTGAGCATTGGTTGCAAGTCATCGCGCATTGCAAAGGTATAGGCGAAGACGTCTTCTTTGGGAATCCCCCTCATGCCGAGCACGGATTTGGTTGTTTACGCCCGTATAAGAGAGAGATCCTTCGAGACTTCTGCATCCGCTTCTCCGATTCCCCTCAGCAGTTCTTCTTCATTGGATAGGAAATTCCGTATTTCGAATCCGCTTCGTGGATCGACCTAAAGCTGTCCAAGTAGTTGTCCACGTAGTGATGGTCCTTGATGGCGGAAGCTAAACGGGGATACTGCTGAGCGAATTCTTCAGCGTTCAAGTTCTTCACGAACTGTGCAACAATCTAGCATCCGCAGCGGTGAACAGTCCGCCGAAATCTAAATTTGATGTTGTGATTTCGCTGATAATGATTCCTCAACTTGCTGTCGTTTTGGTCGTTTAATGGTTAAAATATCAAAATTGAGAGCAAACAAATCTTCGTGTGACATCACATGGAAAACTATTTCTGCTATCAGTGAGAGCAAACTGAAAACTCAATTTGATATCAATTTTTCCTGTTGACAACAAAACAAGTATTCAATTTGATGTTATGCTAAGGCAAACCCGCAACAACATATTTTTGAAGAGCAAATGTATAGCAAAATGAAAACAAAATTTGTCGAGCATGAGCATGAGCATGATTGACCGCCCACGGTTGCTTTATTGTCAGACCAGCTGTAATTACACAGAGAACAAATAGACGATGCTTGAGACTAGCAATCATCCTCAATGTGTAAAACCTGGTGATCTCAAACTAGGCAATAGCAGCGTCGGCCGCGCCCGAACACAGGTCAAGAAAGGAATGGGTAGGAATGTGTTGACGTGACACTCGCTTTGATGGAAGCCGAGAACACCTCTGCACTTCCACGAGGAATCACAGGGATGTTGGGTAAGAGGGTAGGGTTTGCAGCAGGGTTCGTTTTGGTAAACGATAAGCTGAATTGATGTCCTAACGATCATATAACCCGAAGGAGCTTGGGATTGAACCCACGGTCTTCTGCTCAGTAAGCAAAAACGTTTGCTACTAGGCAGACGAGCTCCTTTTTAATCATCGAGTTGCTGTTAGGGATGGTCCATTAATTATTTCACGCAAATTTGGCCCGTTTTCAACCGCCTCCTCCCCCCTTTGTCACATTTTTTGTATGAACCTTATTTTTTTTTGTGTGGCTCGTCACAGTTTTCAAAACCCCCCTCCCCCCTAAATGTGTGACAACATTAATAGACGACCCCTTATTACCATGTAGTCATGTTAACAAATAAAACGATTGACAAATCTTGAATGTGGATGGGCTTGAAATTAGACTCATGATGTTCTACTCAGTAAGTAAAACCGGTTGCTCTAAGGCCACCGAGCCCCTCATATCACATTATAGTGTTACTCAAGTTTTTATAACTATGCAAACCCGGCATCGACGACAGCGAAAAGTTTTACAAAATACACGATAAATAAACGATCTTACCATACATTTTTAATATGAAAGGACCTGGGACCGCGTTTTTCTGCTCAGTAAGTAAGCTACTGCAACCGACGATCTTTGAAATCCTAAAACTAAAAGCTACGAACGAGTACTTAGGCCTTCATTAAGATCCACTTTCACGTGATGTTCAATGTTTCGATTTTCTCTTTACGCATGGTTAAGGCAATCATAACACGCTATGATCGACGTGACAATTGTTTAAGACCTGGTTAAACAAGCTATTCAAATGAAATTACGTTCTAGAACTTCACTTGGCATGTAATGAACAACAGAAATACGCGATAGTTCATATTTTTTTAGCGGTTGATGGTTAATTTTAAATATACTAACGGTACTGCCTACGGCGACTACGACGGCGATTACGACAGCGACAACAGCGAATTTGTAACTTACCATTTGTCTAGGATATAACATTTTTGCCCGGCACCTCCACTGGTTCTTCATGTCCGCTATCTGTCACTGTTTGCAAAAATACCTAATAGGAATTGCGTTTGTTGTAATACTTCCTACATTGCCATGGTCATCTGGGAGGAGGGTCGCATCTAGTGCTTTCCCCAGGAACCGTTCACGGCCACCAGCTACCGCCCGTCTAGTCTTGGGCGTATCCAGCAAGGCATCCTTCAGCTTACTCACAATCTCCGACATTCAATGCAAATCGCAGGCACACTTACGCTAGTTACAAAAAAAAAATATACCCGTGCAAAGAAACGGATCCAATAAACGTCACTCCCGTGAAAGCACACCCGTCGTCATCGAACGGCAAAAAAAAGGAATCGGTGGGCAATTTTGTGATACGGATTTTCAAAATCAACCGGGAATGCACGAATTTCACCACACCCAACTGCGAAACACGTTCAGAAGCACTTTTGGTACACTTTCGTTCGAAAACACTTAATTTTTCTCAAAAATAGTTGCGAGTGAACCAACATCATCTAAACTTAAAATTCAGTAAAATGAAAACAAAATTTGTCAATTACATAAACCGAAATCAAATTAGGATTTCAGTTTGATGTTGATATCAAAACTTGATTTCAATATGCTTTCATTTTGATGCTGGACTTTGCTCGGGAGGCTTCTTCACAATAAATGTTCTTTGAAGATCTGTTCTGGATGCAGGTCGTGCAAACGGCCTTCGAAAGATTTTAACCGGATTGGCATAAGGCAGTAAAAACACATCGATCAACGAAAAAAAAATGAACTTTGGCACATGCTTTTAAACTGTTTTAAAAACCAACTTTTCAATTCACGAAAGGAAAAAAAATTTCTGCGCGGCCTACTTCGATCTCCGCAAATAATGTTTATTGTTTTTCATGCATATGAAAACATACTTTTTAGTCAAGAAAATCCTTTCCAATGCACAAATCATATAAATATTGCGTGAAATTAAAGTTCAAAATTTTTACTAAAAGTTGATGTTCTACGATTTAGGTCAATTGCAAATTGCGTCCAATTTCAGAAAAGTTGTAATTGTTGAAAGCAGTAGGCGTTCAGATCAAAGTAACAATCAAAGCAATCTTGTAATAAACTAGCAAATAAAAAATTCACTTCTATTTCAACCACTGGAAGGATTAGTTCGATTTACTGCCTATTCCAATAGTTTATGGACCCAGAAAAAAATTCTTCAAAATGTCTACCGGAGGTGGTGATAATGGCGTATATTCATCTATTTTCTGGAAACGAAATCGGAAGCTGAAGTTGATTTGACAAGTTTCGTGCCCTAGCTGAGGGACACACAGAGTCCAAGATAAAAGTTCTTCGCAGCGACAATGGTAAGGAATACACTAATAGATCCTTTCAGAAACGACTTGCTCTCTGTTGACAGAAATTTTCTTTGCGCGTCTCTATCAACGTCTCTGGAACAGGCCGCATCTATATTGAAATATTGAAACATGAAATCTTCTTGATTTTGCGTCAATATGTTCATCAATATTTTCGTCATTAATATGATTGTCCATACTGTTGACAATATGTTTAGCCGTGTGGTGCTTGCTTTAAACAACACTGGTAGAAGGTCTCCCCCAAAACTGCTCGACCAAAACGAAAAACTGATATGCTTCGTCCAAGCGTTTTTTCTCTTTGCCATCTGCAGTTGAAGCGTTCGCTCAAGTTTCAACGCCTGTCCTAAGCTCGTGTCAATTTTTCTTTATCTCCATCAAACCAGATTGAAATTGCTTTCAGCCGAAATCCGAATCCATTGCCAAGGAAAATATTATGAATCATCATAATTTGTTTTTTTTTTCCGCACACGCATTGAACAAAATCCATTCCTCACATTTTATGCGTCATTTATCGCTGCTACCGCCAACTGCGATCGCCCGGAAAATGCTTCCCGCCAATTTACCCAAAGCGTCATAAAATCCATCAGCTTTTTCGGACTCCCAGCCTGCTTCGATTTCGAATTTGAATATGTTCGCTCGCAAAGGAACGACCGAACGGAAGGACTTTTTTATGGCTATTCACCGATTTTGGGTTTCCCACACCTTTCTCAGAGAGAGAGAGAGACCGTGGCCAGCCGACCGGTCGGCCGTGTGTTTTGTAAGAAGCGATGATGATTTATTTTTATTGATACGAGCCTTCGTCGGAGCGAAGCGAAATATTTAATGGTTTTCTCGCCGCTTTTACGGTTCGTTAGCAATTTCTCTCTTTCCCGAGGAAGGAGGAGTAAGTTAAATTGCAGGATTTATGAACGTGCGTTCGGATGTTATTTTATTCGGTGCTGAACGGTGATAACGCAGATTTCTTTGAGGAATATCCCGGATTTTACTTATGTGAACTTTTGCTTTTCTTTGCCGTTTCAGGTTCAAAACGGACTCCGGCTGCCCCTGGCTGGGCTGGCACCGCCCCGGGTGCTGATGTGCAGCGCTTCGATGGGTGCCGAGGGTTCCGTCACGTTGCAGCTGCGTGAAGCTGTCCAGGCGCCGGACGCCGGAACTTCCCTGGAGCACGGTGGACTGACGATCGGCTACCCGGACCCGGAGATGCTAGCCGACATGCTTGGTTCGTTTCAGAGTGCCTCGGCGGGAGCTGCTGGGCTGGGCTCAGATCAGCCGTCGGCCTCGTCCGGTGTAGCCATCGGCAACACTGCGTTCGATCTCATCCAGGACAGCAGCAGTAGCAACTGTAGCAACAGCCGGCAGTCCGTGTCCGGGCTGGACCCGGTCGCCGAGCAGCACTGCATTGCCAGCGCCCTGCTGGCCAAGGCGTCTTCACCCACCGGAAGTAGTAGCAGCAGTAGTAGCGGCAGCAGTAGTAGTAGTGCCAACAGTAGTAGCAATGGCAATGCGAACGGCAGCAGTAGTTTGACGCACAGCGGGATCAAGAGTGAGATCGGTAAGTGGAATTTGATACTACTTGTGCGAGTTTATACCCAGCCTACTGTAGGCTGCCTATTGTGTTTCACTTCGAATTTCACTACTCCTGTCGCTTTTCGGTGTAGAGGAAGACCAAAACACCCTGGATCGATTGACGTTTTTTACTACTCTCGCTTGGTTGTCGTGCGGGAAATTATGTTTGTATTCGTACACTCATGCTCTACCGTTGTCTCTCTCACAGAACACAAACGGCAGAACAACATTCGAGCAAAAAGAAAATTATCAAATAACTATCATATGACAATGAGTTATTTCGTTCTAATTCTTCAATTTTGTGTAAATCAAACCATTTCTGATCAGAATTGCTGTTACTACTTGCTGTTTTCAGAATTCACACAACAGTATCGTATGAAGTAGACTGACATATGATATTTTGGTTTGGAACTGTACTTTGATAGTTTGTTTTGCAAATATCGGAAACAAAATCAGTCAATCAAAGAAAATGCATCAACTACGGCAACCGCTTACAGCACTGTTCTCGACATATCAATTAAATAAATTTAGTAAACCCAACCTTCAATCGAAGGTAAAACCTAAATTAGAATTCTTTGTCCTCCCACTTGCGCTCTATTCAGCAACAATTTCCCGAACAAACTGTTGCCACAGCTAATGCCAAACTCTACCCGCTCACGTAGCTATATCAAAAGCCCAGAACTCATTTTAACGATAAATAAACATGCACACGGAGCTTTCGGAATCGGATTAATACTAATACCACCAGGGCAGAACACAAAAAAAATCCCTTTACCTATCGAAGCAACAGTTCTTCCCACCCTCGTCCGCTTTCCCAACGACGACGACGACGACTACAATAAATACAGGAACTACACAGTCGAAACTCGGTCGGATGGGACGGCGGAAACTTAACTAGCTTGTGGATTGCAACATAAAATAAAAGCCATTCAGTTCGGATCCGGCCGTCGGTTCATTCCGGCTGCAGGCGGTCATGTTGGTGGGGGGGAAGGGAACCCACTCGATTCCAATATAAACCGTAAATATATTTTCAACGAGAACGAACAAAACACACGTCCGAATCGAAATAGGGAGAGAGAGAGAGAAAGAGAGACCGTTCGTTGTGGGTTGGTGGTTTTTGCAGCCGAAGCGGTCGGTTCCGGTAAGAATTCGACGGATGGCTGGGCGGATGGGCGGTGGATGGGTCGGATTGCATTATTCCATTGCGCTAAACTAAAACTGCATCACAGTCAGTGTTCTGAGAGTTCTAGAATGTGCCGTTTGCAATTCCAAAGTCGATTCCAAACGGGATATGGAGCTAATTTGCGTTTGCAAAGTTGCGGGATGGGCTGTCGGTGTGCGGAAAGCGAGATGTTCAACCCCGGAATCATTATTGTCCGGAAAATGATTGGGTACATAGAAAAGTTTTCGGTGCCATTCTTAAGCTATGCAAGAATTTATAAAAGTTCAAACCAGGATGATATTTCTTTGATTCCGTTGAGTCTAGGTAGGGAAGGGAACGGCTTAATCAGGGGGCGACTGTTTTCATCAGTTGAGGGAAAATGGGTCTAAAACTCCTGCATTTTGCTCGTTATCATAAATTGTCATGATGGGAAGACAAACTCTGACTATCAGTAAATTAGTGTAATTTTGAAGATTTATCAATTTCATCATGAGCCAATTACCAGGGGCTGAAGAAATGCGCCTGCTTGCACCCTAAGCGATTCTTCCATTTGTTTAGCCCGCGCAGAGAAGAAACTCTTGATCAGCACTGGCAGGGTTGCCAACATTTTTTTCAAAAATAACTGGCAAAATGCAAATGGAAGAAAACTGAATCCTCGTAAAAAATTATTTTCTTGCAAACATGCAAATTTTTGAACTTTTCAAAAATGTGCTTTTTTAAATTTTCTTGTTTTGGTAAGACCATAGAGGTAACTCTAAGACCAGAAGGTCCCGAAAATACGTGCTCAACTTTTTGGCTCAGCTCTGGTACTATCTTCGGTCCCAAGCTAATCGATGCACCCCTCGAAACATAGGAAAATCCAAGAACCCCTCATTTTATCTGTCAAACTTTCATAGCAAATCAAAACAAACATAGTGTAGTACTAGAATTTCGACTAGAATGGGGTAAGGTATGTCGTTTGCTTGGGACCAATAGGCTAGTCAAGTAGTGAGCCAATTTAAAATCTTTAGTTTCGTATTGATTGTTGGTAAGACTCCAGTGTTTAAACAACTTTACGGAGCCGAAAGTCTTTAAATCATTACTGACTTAAAAAGTTGTAGCATTAAAAATTAACGTTGACGTGTTTCAGAGGATACATTTTCAATTACAAATCTCTCTGATCTATACAAATTAACCATGTTATTTTAGATCTTTGATCACTAACTAATACCGAAGACAACAAACCAAGAAGACTGGCAACTCTTCCATTTTCTCATACGAACGCTTTGAGACAGGTACAATCGCGTCATCTGCCGCTCAAAGGTAAATGCTTCGAACGAATTTGATAGCAAAGATTACATCCGCAGAAGAAGGGTTTGTGTATTTACTCATTTTTCTATGCGTTGCTTCCACCTTCACTCAAGCGCAGCGCCATTGTATCTGTCACTTGTATTCTGGCAAAGTTGCCAGTCTGCTTGATTTGTTGTCTTCGGCAATTTATATTGTACTCAATCAAAGTATCTTGTTACTTCGTACGTGAAGTTTACGATTTCAGAGTTAAGAGGAAATGCTATACTATTATCAACATGAAGCTTTAGTGCGATGATTTGTTAGCTGGAGAAAGTTCTGAAGAAGATAGATTGATAGTTCCGCTACAGAACGGCAGTGTGAAAATTGAACCGAAGTTGAAATTGAGCGAAGGGCCGAGTGGCATTATAACACACCATTGCCCAAATTGTCCAAAAGTTCTTGATTAACGATTTTTGTTAGTTTTCAAGTGTCCATGGTTTTAACCATACCAAAAGCTTGCATTTCTCATAAGCCTTTTTCTTGATAAAAATAAAGCATGGCCCACTAAGTAATGGAGCAACATCATTTGAGTCTATTTCGGATTTGAAAACGGTTTTCACTGAAGTGCATACTATTGCTTATATTTTAAGAAAAAATATACGGAACGAATTATTCGTCGTGGTTTCGGAAGAAATCTTATACTTTTCCCTTATTACGACCCATCAAGCGGCGCCTGTTTTGGCGATTTATCTCACCAATTTTTCATCTGAGCTGCCGTTTCCTTTTCATAATTGGTCAGTACTTTTCAATGGGCCTGAACCGGGGACAATTGGGTAAACTGAGGATTTTCAAAACAAACTGGACTCCGTTGTCATTGTCCCACTGTCGTTCTTCCCGGCTGTAGTGACAACTCGCAAGATCCGGCCAAAATGTCACCGGACCATCGTGTGACTGGATGAAGGGCAGAATTCGCTTCTGGAGGCATTCGGTTTTGTAAACCTCCGAGTTCATCATTTTCTCAGTGATGAAAACCTTTGTCTTCTGGCCGCAGTTGCAAATTCCCTGCCATCTCATTTGAATCTACCAGGGACACCCCCTCGAGCCTTCACCTTGTAAAATGTTGGTCCTGAAAGCTGTCCGAAGTCAGCCTTTACATAGGTTTCATCATACATAAGTATGCACCCACCGGACAGGCACGAGTTCTAGCTACGGTATTCTGCTTGAGTGATCGATTTGGTTGCCTACTGGTGCGGTATGCCTGTAAGTCTTAGCGGTAGCGAATTCACTGTACTACATCATACTTTTTACTCAAATCGCCATCGGACATACCTGGGTTGCTCCTGATGAACCTCACGACCTGCTGACCTCACCATGGAGCTGACGGTTTGCAGTTCCACTCCGGCGTTTACCTTGAGGCTTCCGATTCGTCGTCAAGGTTTCCCTGTACGTTTTGAGCACGCGCCATATGGTGTTTCTAGGAAAATTCAACACTTTAGCATGCTTGGACGCGAACCACGTTGGATTTTCCAGGTGACTGTGCACAGTTGGTTTTCTACGCTCCTCTTGCATGGTGACTGTCTGACTGACTGACTGACTGACTGACTGACTGACTGACTGACTGACTGACTGACTGACTGACTGACTGACTGACTGACTGACTGACTGACTGACTGACTGACTGACTGACTGACTGACTGACTGACTGACTGACTGACTGACTGACTGACTGACTGACTGACTGACTGACTGACTGACTGACTGACTGACTGACTGACTGACTGACTGACTGACTGACTGACTGACTGACTGACTGACTGACTGACTGACTGACTGACTGACTGACTGACTGACTGACTGACTGACTGACTGACTGACTGACTGACTGACTGACTGACTGACTGACTGACTGACTGACTGACTGACTGACTGACTGACTGACTGACTGACTGACTGACTGACTGACTGACTGACTGACTGACTGACTGACTGACTGACTGACTGACTGACTGACTGACTGACTGACTGACTGACTGACTGACTGACTGACTGACTGACTGACTGACTGACTGACTGACTGACTGACTGACTGACTGACTGACTGACTGACTGACTGACTGACTGACTGACTGACTGACTGACTGACTGACTGACTGACTGACTGACTGACTGACTGACTGACTGACTGACTGACTGACTGACTGACTGACTGACTGACTGACTGACTGACTGACTGACTGACTGACTGACTGACTGACTGACTGACTGACTGACTGACTGACTGACTGACTGACTGACTGACTGACTGACTGACTGACTGACTGACTGACTGACTGACTGACTGACTGACTGACTGACTGACTGACTGACTGACTGACTGACTGACTGACTGACTGACTGACTGACTGACTGACTGACTGACTGACTGACTGACTGACTGACTGACTGACTGACTGACTGACTGACTGACTGACTGACTGACTGACTGACTGACTGACTGACTGACTGACTGACTGACTGACTGACTGACTGACTGACTGACTGACTGACTGACTGAC